TTTTTCACAATTGGGTCAATCGAATTACCACAAAATGTATCCGCCGTCTCGTACGACTACGTTCGCAAAACTCACCGTCCCGGGGAGTTTACCTTTCTAGTAAATCATATTTTCTGAAAAAGTCCTTGAAGTACGCAATGATTGGGCTTTTTTAAATTTCCAACCGAAGACCGGACAATCACCAAGTCCAGACGAATAGCAGACCAGGTCGGACAATAAATGAGTTCCTTTAATACTTTTATCTATAGGTTCATCTATGGATATTACCTACCGCAAAGCGCTCACTGCAACCTAGCTGTTCGCACTAACCTGTAAATTCTTATGTTTCATGCATATCTCAAAACGATTGTTTTTTTAGTCGCTAATCGTTGCAGCACGTTATGCAATTTGAAATACTTGCCCGAAATGTGCATTTATTCTTCTCAGTGGCACATTAATCTTATTCCTCCTCTCAAATTGTTGATAAAAGTGCCAGAGAAATTTGATCTATAGGTCCATGTTGCCTGTAAAACCGAGCAGTACTTTCGGCTACGCCAATGTTTCTGTGGATTTCGTTATATTTTAGTAATCACAACCTTTTGGGGTGTTTTAACGATAGTCAAGGCCGAGGTGTCACCGCCTAAGTTCGTATTGTGTGAGCCCTCAAGGAAGAACACGACAAGAAGTGGGCGAGAGCAAAAGTCTTTTGGTGTCATGGGTACAACATATTTAGGGCAACAAACGCGTGTAACACGATGCCCATCGAGCCAATCAGCTTCTATCCTAGCGTAGGCGCCTGCACGATTGGCTGGTGACTCAGGAACTAAATGTAGCTTGAAATTTAAATTATTGATTGATTGTGTGGCACGATGTGTTTGCTCGCGTGTAGGCCGATCGATAACCTACTGTGAGCGCGGCTGCTGCTTGTATGCTAGCCGCCTGCTAGCTGGCACCTAACATGGGGTATTAAGGGGAACCGATGTCAGGAGAAACACTATCCTGTTCTAGCGTCAGAAAGAAATTACTAAAAAGACAAGGGAAACTGGAATGACCATTTCTGGCTTATAAGTTGTATGGCTGGTTGATGATGGCTATTAAGCAAGAAGTGGTAATTCCGGTCAACCTTGTCGGTAATGTCGTCTTCTGCGGTTGCTGACAGGACTCGAGAGTGAGTCATAAGGCACAACGGAATGACAAGTGAGCGTCTAATCTACCATTCCATCTTATTATATTTCTATTAGGCCCGAGGCAGGCTATTTTCTTCCTTTTTGAAATAGTAAAAAACAAAAGCATCGCCACTCACAAACCACCACATGAATGCAATATGAGTTGGGATGAAAATTATTCCCCTTTAAGAGGACATTTGTTTTAATTCGCATGTAGGCATGGTGTCTGGCGCCGGCAGTCTCTCCACGCTGCATTCGGTGAAGGGTGGCAACGACCAGGTTGCGAAGCATCTGTTGGACTCAGCCCTCACCGAAAATCCCCCCGGTGCCCCTTCTTCCGCTATCTTTGCTGAGGTGAAGAGTCTCGCGCCAGGAAAAAAACGAAGGTGAGTAGTCTACTGCTTATTGTTCCCCTTTCTGAAAACAAGGTAGGGCATCGTTTTCCTTCGAAGCAGCTGTTAAACAGGACTAGTCACAGTAGACGGGACACATGTAGTCAAGGACGAATACTGTGTCCACAAGGTTACCTACATTCTACCTTGTTTAATTTTTTTGGAAGTTCAACAAAATTGCGTGGAAGCCGGGGTTAACATACGAGAAAACACACGCAAATGCTGGGGAGTCGTTGTGACCCGCGCCTAGTATGCGTAATTAACACGAAATGTGAGTTTACCCGACTGTTGTTTCCAAAGCCAGCTCGGGAGAGGCAGAGAAGGTACTCGGCCACGAGCAGAGCCATCTTAACAAGTAGCAAGGTATTCTCACAAAAAGGCTGTGCATATTTATTGAGCTGCTTGTTGAGAAAGTGTTGGAGACCTGGACCAATCAGGTCTGAGGAGCGATCGATAGCCACGGTGCAGGTGCATGCTCTTGTAGCAGCTCACGCAGGCGAATCTCTGTACAATGACTCATCGCGGGAATGGAGGCATTCCCAACGGGGATCGATTCATGAACCTAACCCCTCGCTTGTGCGTGATACAGCGCCTTGAGATAGATGAAACACGTTGCCTGGCTAGTACCTATGCTGTCGGTATGGTAAATAATTAAGTATAAGCAGAAGGACATTACCAGCAAAAACATGGGACAATAGGAAGGCCTT